GGGGGGAGGGGTTGGGTGTTGGAGAAGTGAACAAAGAAGGAAGTTACTTATAATCGATGAGCGATTCAAAGTAATATTTCAACGTATCTATGGCATAAGGTCGCTATAAGTCCTCTTTCGCATAGTGATCAATTTGTGGGCTTGACGACTAGGAGGTTTTTGTGTTTACTTAGTATCGGTGCCTGTTTCGCATCGGATGTCTGTTTCTAATCGCAAAAAAATCCTCTTCACGAAGCACCCTTCGTCCAAAGTTAGTGCTCTTTTAAAACGGTTTCTCTAATTGGCTGAGCACTATTTTGCGCATGGTTAAAGTTCACTTTGAGTGTGTGTACTTTAATCACTTGCACCTTGTGGGCTACGCGATTACATGCAGGTCTTTTTTGGCGGACTATGATGTGCTCCAATGTCTACGGTCGAGCATCTAACTTCAAATCGGGCTCTGCACAGTGAAGCTAAGACGCATATTGCGTCTAAAGAAATAAAAAACATTCCATCAATGTCATTTGATATATTTTTCTCCAAGTTCAAATCATTTTTACCAATGTCTTTTTAACAAATGATTATTAATTTCAAATTTTGCTAGTTTTTTTTATTTCATTCAATCATTCATTTTTTCGTGGCGTTTAACCAACCAACCGCCAGCTTCACCATAGTACGAGTCATCGATTAAAATTTGTGGCCACGTTTAGAGATTCTTCCTTTTGAACTAACCCCCCTTTGCGATCAGTCCTTTTTTTCTCTCTCCAGAAATTGTAAAATTTTGGGATCCGTTTATTGGGCTGTTATTAACGGTAGAGCTTCATCGACGCCTTTCTTTCTTTTCAACGTCATTCACCATAGGACTCCATGACTGACGTAATCGGCATTTGTGTTTCAAATTCTATATTTCTCCTTACTGATGGCAACCGCATTTCAGTTGTTCCTTCCACATTCCTCTTCTCGTATGCAATTTCGTATATAGGTTACTGCCTTGTATCCTAATCAAGGCCTTTGTCTATATACAAGTTATCAACAAGAATCGGCTCTAATTAATTCTGTCGATCCTATCAGTTAATCAGCCTGCCTCCTGTGCATCGTAAATTGATTTGTACTGAAAATGGGTTGGTGATAATGGAATCTATGGTAGATTCGAATGGGGTTACCGTTCTATTAACTACTTGAGATTTCACACAACTCGCATTCTTCTTCTTCGATGTGTTCTCGTGAGCGAGTTTTATCTTTCCTTAATGAAATTAAGTTACTATTTAGTCGCATCGACTTTCTCTTCCCCTAATTAGCTTAAATTCCTAATTTTATTATGATGGTTGTCTAATTTGTACACATTTAAGTGAGTTTTAAAGATGTTTTGCCTTTTTTGCAGAGCAAACGGAACTCGATGTCTTGTGCACTGCAAAATGGGAATCAGTCGATCGGGATCAACGGTAAGCCACATCCCTGCTTCGTTGTATGCTCTCAACAAGCGTAGCCTCTAATGATGTCTTTGTGATTATTGTGATTATAATGGAGGTGTCCAATTGTGGGTCACTTTCAACAAAGTTTAAAAATTTGAGTGGATTTGGAAATCAGCGCAACTATTTAAATGAATGTGGATGGTAATAAGTGGACTTCAGAAACTCCTTCATCCTGATATTTTCGATCTTGGTCTCATCAACTTTAAAGAATCTTCTACGGCTTAGGAGATCATTATACCCACAAATTAACAAGGATACGCTCCTATCATTGCTTATGTACTTATTCACATTTTTTTCTGAACTTATGTTAGAGTAATTTTAAGATGTGGAGTGACGGCGTGTGGAAATCTTAAATTGGATATTATACGCGTTAATTTAAAAAAAATTTCAGAAATCCAAGATGTGGCACTTTTTCAGCTATTTATGGGCAATGTCCAATCTGATGCATAGCATATGACTGGGGCATTTTAAATTTTTCGATCATGTATTTGTGGCCTTTTTGTTAGACTTCATATTGGGATCGCTTTTCTCGACTCTCCTTGTTCTCTTGCAGGTTGTGGCCTACGTGATGAAGGAGAAGGGCTGGAAGCTGGATGAAGCCATGGAGTTTGTCAAAAACAAACGACCCTGTGTGAACCCAAATGCCAACTTCCTTCGTCAACTCGAGACCTACCAGGGCATCCTGGAAGCTAGGTTAGTTCGTTCTCTCTCTCTTCGTCTTTTCTCAAAGCACTTCCACTTTGTGTCCAGTCTCCTTTTAGTAGAAGTTTCACTCACAGACATTCCAATAATAACCACGCTAAAACTCAAGCGAATTCTCTTTTCTCCTTCTTACCTTTTGACCACTGCTTTTACACCAGTATTTATTTATTTATACCAAATGCCAGGCGTTTAAATAGCTGTCATTAGCCCTTTAGCTGACTTCAGGCTTCACAGAGGGAAGGTGGAACATCAAAGTGAAAAAAGATTGAGAGGGGGGACAGTAGAGTGATTCACAGATGTAAAGAGATAAACGCAAAGGCAGAAAAAAGATAAAGTGAGTACTGTGAAAGTGGTGGAATATGACATACAGTGGGGTGATGGTAGTTTGAAGTCAGAAGTCAGCTGCGGGTTAATGGACTTTTTTGTCGTATGAGTATAGGTTGCCCAGGGTGCACCACGTGGAGGTAAGTCTATCGCACACCCCTCTACACCAGTATTGATCTTGGTCATCGCATTGCAGTTACGTTCATTGCATATTTTATTTTCATTAGTATTTAATGAGACAAGGAGTGCCGGTTTTATTTACTATCAAATTATTGTTCGTCTTGTGTTCATTGATTTCATTAGTCTCTTTGAGGTATGCTCGAGTATTTCGAGTGCAAATCTTATCGCGTTTTGCGCCGATGTCGTAGTGGTTAATGTGATGGCTCATTGGGGGTCAGCGTTATTCGTCGTAGTTTGAAGAAGTGTGACAGGACACTCTTTTTCTCTTCACTTTTAACGCATTTTGTGCTTATAAGACAGTTTTCATATTTA